ATCTGCGCGAGGGTGTTGAAGCTGAGGTTATCGGGGGTGGTGTCGTAGCAGGTGTGGTCGATTTGGTTGTTGTCCTCAAGGAGGTAGTTGGGGGGAAGTTGTGGCATTGCGGGGTAAGCCCCGGAGGTGACTTGGGAATAGGTGGGATGGATGGTCGGGATGGTGGAGGTGCTCATGATGGGTTGGGAGAGGGTTTGGGAGTGCGGGAGAGGAAGAGGGGTGACTTTGATGGGCGATGAATGAGGTGGTGTGCTCGATGCGCCAGATGAGGGAGGAGGTGGAGGGAACGAAACGATGGTGGGGATTGAAGGATTGGTGGATATGGCGGTAGAGGTGGTAGGAGTGGAGGAGGTCGGCGAGGGGGTGTTGTTGGAGGCGGCTGTGGAGGAGGGAGTGGTTTGCGCTGTGGAGGTTGGAGTGGTTTGCGCTGTGGAGGTTGGAGTGGTTTGCACTGTGGAGGTTGGAGTGGTTAGCGCGGTGGTGATGACCGTGATGGAGGGGATGGTCCCTTCGGTCGTGGTGATGCGGTCACATAAGGACAACATGTTGGCCTTTATGTCGTCGAGAGAGGCGGTGACGGAGGTTTGGAAGCTATTGAGTGCGTGGACAATGGCAGAAAGGTCGGGTGTGGCGGTGTTTGCTGGTGGTTGTTCGCCTGCCAGGTTACGGGCGATGCTATCAACTGAGTCGGTGCGGATGTCAGACATGTTGATGGAGGATGCGGTCATGTCGGCGGAAGAGGGGATGGAGGAAGCGGCCTGAATGGGTGTGGAAGATGCAGCAGCAGTGGTGGCGGCGGCAGCAGCAGCGGCACGTTGGGAGTTCTTGGTTTGGCGTGGTGACATGTGGAGGGTGGGGGGGGAATCCCTTATTTATTTATCAATAAATTCAAAAATAAAGATAATCGCCAAGATTTTTCAAAAAAAAAAAATAAATAAATAAATAGAATAAATTCTGATTTAGATTAAATTTATTTTCAAGAAAACGTGAAATTTGAGAAGAAAATATTTTTGAATTACGGAGAGAGAAAACATTCTGAAAATAATTAGGAAGAGGAAAGTTTTAAAATATTTGGCAAGAAAATGTCAACATTTTAGAAAAATGATTATGAATTTCGAATAAAGAGATTAATTCAGTCATGAATTAATTGAATTTAGTCAAAATTAATTGAGGCGTTTAGAATAATATTTTAAAAAAAAAAGTACTTCCGAATTGTAAAAATAGTTTCGCATTTCAACAAAAATTGCGAAAAGAAATTGTGAATTTAAAATACTGGAAAAAAGAATTAATTCGAATTATTTTTGAATTTCCAAAAAACATATCGAAAAAAAAAATTAATTAATTTTAATGTATTTTTAAACTTTTCAAAAAAAATAAAAAAATTGAGTAGAAATATTTTGTGAAAAGAAGTGTTGAAAAAAAAATGTCGAAAAAGAGTTAAATTAATTCTAAAATATTTTTGAATTACAAAATTTCGAAAAAGAATGAATTAAATTTGTTTTCAAATTTCGAAGAAGAAATGCCGAGAAAAAAAATTATTAAATCCTATGTATTTCGAAAACTTCGAAAAAGAGAATACGTTTGAGAAAGAAATGAGTTTTTTTTTTTTTTTTTTTGAATGTACAAAAAAAAGAGAATTTAAAATGGATTCTATAACTGAATAAAATGAATTTTGATGTGAATCGAGGGCGGGGCGATCCTATCTACTATTGATTGGGTGGTAGCGTGGTAGGTAGGGCACGGGTAGATTGGTGATGATGATGATGATGAGTTTATTCAAGGAGTTCACCGAGTTGCCGCTTCATTTCT